TCTAGCTACAAGCACTCTTGCAATGAGGAACCAAGATGTACTTTGTACCCAGGTTTTATGCTTTTTAGCTGCTCCAGGAGACCTTTCCTTGCACATTCATTTTCTGTGTTTATTATTCTAATATTGCAGTGGTCCTGTTCACTTTTTTGATGCTATTTGTTATCATCTCAGAGAGTGGCATGGTGACATTCCCTGAATCCAACATTTCTGGCCATCAAGAATTGGTAGAACTTGAAAAAGATACTCTTGATACAGACAAGATGAATAAAGAAAAATCAGTTCAATTGCAGAAGAATCACAGTTATGTTTCACAATCTGCAGTGGCTTTAAGGTGTCGAGTCATGCCTCCTCCTTGTTTGAAGAACCCATACCTTAAGAATTCTTCGGAAATGGATATTGATCCGTTTGGCAATCAGAGATCAAAATGTGCAGGTGCATTTTTGTTAATCAACTTCTAAGTTTTCAGTTTTTGGAAGAATTGATTTGTTTTATGGAAATGATTTATTCTGGTTGCAGTGCAATTTTCTGTTTATGTTATATATGTCTTTAAAGTGTAAATGTGTACAAGTTGTCATGAAACCTTTCCAGTTTATCTTAGATCCTAATGAACACTTGTTATTGGGATGCAGGTTTTTGTCCTGCAGGTATTGGTGGTGATGGTCTTTCACGCTACCGAACAGATTTCCATGAAATAGAGGTACTGAGGTCCATTAGGAAGCCAAGGATTTGTTGCTTTATATAGTATTGAACACCTTTTTCTTTTCAATGCTTCATTTTGATTGATTTTAGCCTTCTCCAGCAAATTGGCAGTGGAAACTTCAGTCGTGTTTTTAAAGTACTGAAAAGACTTGATGGTTGCATGTACGCAGTGAAACATAGTTTGAAGCGATTACATCAGGATACAGAAAGGTAGCATATTTATTGTTGGGGCAACTTGTAATTATTGACTCCTTATCTTTTATCCAGCTTGCTTATGCATTCATTTACCAGGAGCAAGGCTTTGATGGAAGTTCAAGCTCTGGCATCTTTAGGTTTGCCTGCACATCCATTTTTGCTTACTCCCCATCTGAACANAGTGGGTGGTGTTTAAAAACTGGCCAAGCAACCTTCAACATGTGGCACATTGTCAAACTTGTTGTCAAAAAAATTGTTCTTGTAGCTTGGTTGTTTTTGCTTAGTCTCCATCTGAACAGCGAATGTAATTGTTCTGAAAGTGTCTTATTTTACAGGGACCCATGCGAACATTGTTGGCTACTACTCATCTTGGTTTGAAAATGAGCAACTTTACATCCAAATGGAGCTATGTGATCACAGCCTTTCTATCAACAAACCCTCTAAATTATCCACAGAGGAAGAAGTTTTAGAAGCAATGCATCAGGTGAATAGTTTTTAAATTCATTACCTGTCCTAAAGTATCCTCAATGGATGTCCTTTTACAGTAAATGGGTTGTTTAATAATAATTGCCACTATACTGCATTGACTCACTCATAATACTATTGCCTAAAGTATTCCAATATTAACTGAAGAATTTGATTTCCAAAACCTTCGAATGGCATGTAGTTTGAACCCTTGTCTGCTACACGAGGTAGTTGTAAATGGAAGTGGAGAGTGATGGCATGCAGTTCCATTATTTAATGATTCATAAAGTGGAATAATCTTTCGTAGACAAAACAATTGAGGTGCTTGTCAAAGTTCAAAATTTGAATATTCCACTTTCTGAAAAATTTCAATGCTATAAATCTGGTAATTTAACAATCGCCTTCGTCTACTTGACCCCAGTAAATAAAAAGATTGATATATTAAATAATGAAGTGAATTAACTGTGCTAGACTTTATATTTCTCAATGACTTGCGCACGAGATTATTTCTGTGAATTCATTTATTTTACCTTCTGATGGCTTAAATGACTCGAAAGAAATGCATATCAGTTTGTAGAATATCATAAATTTTACTTTCTTACTGCTTCACATATTTCAAAACTTTGGAATATCAAGCCTGTCTTGTCTGTCTTATGTAATTTCCGCCTATAAAAATTCTCTAATTTGCAGATAGCCAAGGCGTTGAAATTTATACACGATAAAGGGATGGCACATTTAGATGTGAAGCCAGATAATATTTATGTTAAAAATGGAGTTTATAAACTCGGTGATTTTGGTTGTGCAACTCTTCTCGATGGAAGCTTACCAATTGAAGAAGGCGATGCACGCTATATGCCCCAAGAAATCCTGAATGACAAGCATGATCATCTTGACAAAGTTGATATTTTCTCCCTAGGGGCTGCTATCTTCGAGCTTGTCAGAGGGGTGCCCTTGCCTGAATCGGGGCATCATTTTCTAAATCTTAGAGACAGAAAACTGCCTCTTCTTCCTGGTCATTCATTGCCATTTCAGAACTTACTCAAGGTAAAATAGCTTTCCTACAGCATATCCCAACATATCTTGCAATCAGAGGTTTCTGTTATGCCAATCTTTTTTGCTGTAGCACTACTGAGTTTGCGTTTCTAACTTTTAACATTTTAAGCAAAATCATTACCTTTCAATCTTTGGCTAAGGAGCTAAAAATGCATTTTAGTGGCTAAAAAAATCTTAAATAAAGAAAACCCAAGATACCAAACAATTTCAGTTAGAAAGTAGTTGGTGTAGGTGATATAGTAATGCCTTGCGAGAGGACACTGATGTTTCTGTTGGTTACTAATCAAATTAGGTCATGATGAACCCCGATCCAACTCGACGACCTTCCGCTAAAGAACTACTAGAGAATCCAATTTTTGGCCGGCCCCAGAGAGCAGCAAAAAACAAGTGAACTTGTAAGTTTGCTACTGGACGATTTTGACAGAATCTGGAAGCTGCTGTTTCAATAGTATATTTTGGCCATTGCTGAAGGCAAACTACTTGGAATGAAATGTGCAGGGAAGGATTCATAATGGGGGGAAGGGAATCCATAAGACTACTCTCCATTTTCTGCACCAGAATTTTGAAATATAGATGGTGCTAATTTTGTATACACAAGAAATGGGGAAGAAAGTACTGTGTAAATTACTGTGTAATACTTTTTTGACAATTGATAAATTCAATCATGGAAGGACCTGAAGTTGGTCATCACTGGTGTTAAACTGGGCCAGATTGTCTATGTGCAGGCTGGCCCATTAAAGACCCGTGCGAGCCCAGCCAACAGGTTTTTGGCTAATGTAATATCTCACATTAATAAGTTAAGGTTTAGTTTGTCAGTTTATAATAATTGGGCAACTCTTTCACAAGTCGATTTTAAGGGTGACATTAACGAATAATTCGATTCGATTAAAATTCAAAAAATTTGAGCACACAGATGAGTACCAAATAACTAAAATCATAAATAATATAATTAATCAATACTCATTACAACTTTACAATTTCTAAATTTTAAAAAAATAGACAATTTCTAATTTTTCAAACGGAAACTTCTTAATTTATAGAATTGGTGTCGAATTGCTAATAGTAAATATACATGTATAGTATTATTCAAAA